TTTTTTTCCCCCTTTTTTTTCCCCCCCCCCCCCCCTCTTTCTCTCTCTTTTTCTCTCTCCCCCCCCCCCTCTCTCTCTCTCTCTTTCTCTCTCTCTCTCTTTCTCTCTCTTTCTCTCTCCCCCCCTCTCTCTCTCTCTCTCTTTCTCTCTCTCCCCCCCTCTCTCTCTCTCCTCTTTCTCTCTCTCCCCCCCTCTCTCTCTCTCCCCCCCCTCTCTCTCTCCCCCCTCTCTCTCCCCCCTCTCTCTCTTTCTCTTATTAGAAGTGGCAGAGTATGTCATACAGCAAGATGAAGAGAGTGATATGTTGTTAGCTACTATTCTCCATCAACAGCAGCAAATCAAAGACTCCCCAAGACCCAAGAAAACAGACACAGCCTCCAAAGCTCCGCCCACAGTGACGGCCGAAGGAGACAGGGGAGGAGGAGGAGGAGGGGCTGAGAAAGCTCCGCCCAAAATTAATGGACCCTCTCCCTCGTCTCTGGGTGAGAACAGTGATAGTGTAAGGAGTCAAGAGTAGGTTTAGTTGTTTGTGTTAAAGTTAATGTTTAAATGTTTGTCATTTTTGGCTTTTAATTATTATTATTATTATCTTTATGTTATTATTATTATTATTTTGTATTATAATTTTAGCTTTTTTCCACTTCTGTATCTCCCCCTCTCTATCTATATTTTACGTTATTAATAATGATAATAATAAACTTTACACGCATACATGCACATTCTCTCTCTCTCTCACTACATTTGCCCATTCCTCCTTCACTCAGTCAATATGAAAAGTAAAATGATTAAATCTTTGTCTACACGTACGTGTACATATTTCACGATAAAAGCCAAACCAGATGAAGCGGAAGCCCCTACTATGAAATAATAAATTAAAATACAACATTCCTCCTCGTAAGATTGTCACACTATCATAGTAGGCACATATGTCACTCTTTGTGGTTAATTGTAACAGTTCAAGGAAAATTCCAAAGTACAATGATCTGAGGATTATGACCATGTACACATTACTTGATATTAGCACCCCAACCCCACAGAAGGTGTATTTCATTAGAAGTGTATCCTTGTGTGAAGATTAAGGCATGCATACAACTTTATTAGCAAGAAAAGCTGCACATAAAAGCATTGCTTTGTACTGCGTGTGTATTATGCAGTGTACGACTATTAGTCTGATAGTTATCTATATGTCTTCTGTTTGGAGTATTGTATTACTGCTATTCAACTACATTCTGATGGCTTTCCTCAGGAATTGTTTTTTATTGGCCGATTTGCTTCATAATAGATCAAATGTTAGATGCGTAACTTTACCTTCTAAGTAAATGACATGGTTGTGTTGTATGCCAGAGTAAAAATGCAATATTTTCCTTAAAATTCCTCGTCCGTTTCTATCTTAGCAGCTCTCTTTTGAGTTTATACATTCACAAAAAAGCTAAAGCTTGTTTTCACTGTTGCTTCTAATTGCCGTGAAATGAAATGCATGTAATACTGGCAGGTAGCATAAGCATGGCTTCGTTCATTAAACATTATATAACACTGAGAATTTGAGAACATAACGTTATCCAATATTTTCACTGAATCTTGATAATAATGCTTCCAGCACTACCTTTAGTTGGAATTATAAACGTGTCTAGCATGTACACATTCACAAGCATACACGTACACACTATCACTTTAGGCTTGTGTGTTTATTTTATGCATGTGTGGCAACATGTCATTTCTCAGTAAGTGTGTGGTTATATGGTAAATGATGTAAGGAGTAAGTGTGTGTGGATATACAATGAGAGAATGCAGCATGTGTGTGTGTGTGTGTGTGTCTGTTACTTATTATGATAACATAAAGTGTGAACTGATCACTTGTGCTCATAGTTAAAAGGATTAAGTGAAATAGATTAAAACAACAGCTTCTGCTATAGCTTTACAATAACTCCTTGTAGAGCTTTAATGATGGACAGTAGTTACTTCAATGCCTTTCATGGGAAGAGCAGCTCTGTCTTAAAATATCATCATTGTCATAATGACATCAGAAGTATGATAATAGCTGAGCAATTGTTGAATCAGACTAAGCATACTTTGCCAAGAAATGTCGTGACTGCATTAACTTGTGCAGGGTTACAACAGTCCAAGGGTCTAAGGCCTGGATGATGTCATAGTAGCAATGTACATGTACATGCACGTACAAGTACATGCACATGATGAAATGCTGCATACTAATTTTACCGTTAATTTTATTCATAGGAAATATCAGATTACGTTATTCTGAGAATCGATAAAATTCATCTGTAGCTTTCCTGGGAAAACACTTGGCTCAGACAAACATGTAGTGAATATCATTGTTAATTATGCGTAACATGCAGGCAGCCCTAAATTCATGAGGACTATAGTGCATGAAAGACATTTTTTATTATATATCTTTATTAGAGTGGTTGTATTTTTGATAGTAATGCAAATTAATAGGAAATGGATGAGTCAGGAGTTCATTACTAAGCTGCATGGGTGGTAATTCCACTTAAACCACCAGGATTGTAGTAAACTGCCATTACAGCTTAACTGGATGTGTTTATGCAGCTAGTACAGTCACTAATACCATTAGTGCTATACTCCATGCATACTGGCTTTTAAAGTGGATTCACTTTCGATGATAGGGAAAATGGAACTCTCTCCGTCCCTTCTCCATATTGGAACTATATGTATGCCATTACTCATCATCCTGTATAGATAAATGTACGTGTTTGTTTCCCATAATAGCACTAGAGTTCAACAACAGTCATTCCCGAGTATGATATAGGAAGTGGTTGCTATTGATTATAGTTCATTCTTGTAGCCAGTGTTAGCATAGCTAGACAATATTATTATGACTGTCACCAAATGTGTTCCAATTTCCAACTAAAATCACTAATTAGATTTCAGTCCCTAATTGATTATGATGATAGCCAACTCCCATCCTTCGTCTTTTATAACTATTATGTAACTGAGGACATACTAGTCATAAAAGTTTAATAACTGCTGCATGTGACCGATTGACTCAAACCTCACTGCATCTCAGCATACGTTGAACAACTTCAGTATAGTGAGCATTCAAAATGTACCTCACAAGTCAACAACATGATATCGCCAGTATCCATTGGTAGTACTATTTATAAGCAGATGATTGACTACACATGCATGCATCTGTCTTGTTCAGCCATGCATTTGTGCACATGCATGTAACTGCATAAGCATTCCACGAAAACTCAGTTCATGCAATCCTTATAAAAGATTTAGTAATTATGTGCAAGCCTCAGCCATAGCAACTGACTGTGGCTGGCTGCACAAGCTGCACATGATGCATTTTTAATGTTGAAGGAAATGATAATGAATTCAAAGGAAATTGATGAGGGCGTATTATATAAAGGCCACTCCTGTCCCTGCTCTTTTCAATTGATAGCAACACACTCACAAGCACGCTGAAAGAAGAGCAGCTTAGCAGTTCAACTGAAGATTGGAAAGATGCCTTCTGACAATAACTTTGCATTTAGAGTGCTGGTAGGCCGAGTTCCACTCCCAGAGTACGAGCATAGTGGCCAGAACTACGTTGAGAGTAACTTATGGACTCCGTACAGCTACCAGCAGGAGATCTCTGAGATGGTGAACGGGGAGAAAGAAGTCCAGAACTTCCCAGTCACACCATACGAGATACTCCTGAGGCTAGGAACGCATTGCGAGACCTCAGCGTTCTTCATATACGTGGACGGAGTCCTGGTCACCAAAGCTTTGCTAGAAAAAGGAGAAACAAGGTATAAAAGAAAAACAAATAAACTATCAATACTTGCAATGAAAAAAATATTATTATTACTAACATGATCCTTTTCTTCTCTTTCTTTCTTTCTTTCTTCTCTCAGATTGATCCGTGGCTTTACGGACAGAGGTGGAACGAAAGAATTTCTCTTCGCTCTTCCAAGATTTGCCCGGAACGCGGTTAGTTATTGTAACATAAACCTAGACAAAAAGAAAAGTGTGAACTTTTAACAAGCTTAAGCTGAGCCGTCAATGACCCTTTATTATTCTGACATTAGCTTCCCATTGTGCTTACTGCATTTGTAAGCTTTACTATAAACAAGTGGTAGCCTGTAAGCTGTTAACAGTATAAGGACACAATGGCATTGCTATTTCCTTGTCTTTTCCTCACTTTGGTTGTACAAACTATTTAGTAGACAGGGTGAGTGGTGGAATGGCTCAGTGAGTATAAGTGAGAAACTGAAAATCATAGTGAGAGAGAGTGAGATGCTATGCGTACTTAAAATGAGATTCCATTATTTTTATTATTAACTTTCTTTTATATTTATAGGAAGATCGCATTGATTCGTCGCGTAAAGACGACATTGGCACAATCACTATAGTACGCAAGAAAGGACACTTTGTTAAAGAAGAATACAGACCAATGAGCGACACTAAATTCTATCAGGCGAATAAGAAAGATGCCCGGGTAGTCACGGCCGGTTCTTACACAATGTCGACGACAAAAAAGGGAAAGTATTTGAACAGAACGAGACCGTACGAAGTGAGACTCAAAAAGATGTGGAAAATGGACGCCGAGGTAGGACGACTTGTTCTTAACTACAGAATGGGACACACGCTAGAAGACATGGGTATAACGCTCAAACCTATCGACTGGACGAAAACTCATTCGCAGAGAACGTCTAGCACAGGTAGCGAGTATTCAGAGGAGAATCTAAGTGTAAAGGAACAAGAAGTTCCAATGGGTTCAAGTGACTGTGTAGAAATAGCTAGTAGTTCAACATAGTAGTATTACATTACTTTTTCCTCTTATCCTTCTGCTCTCTTTCTCTCTTTCCAAGAAATGTGTATATTATTATTTTTATCTTATCAATTGGCTAATCTTTCTTTCTCTCTCTGACCTCCTCTTTTCAAAGAGTTGAACTCTGTAATAACACACTTCTCTTTTGAAAACAAATCTCATCACTATTATTACTATTATTATTCTTATTATTATAACTATTTAATGGCCACTGGATATGAGAATTCTAAAATAAATAATTAATAACATTTGGGACTATGCAAACAATGTGTTCAGTATAAAAAATACTGTAATCATATCAAAATATTGAATAGCTCCTATCATAATTGTTCCCAGCTAATGTATACAGGGCAATGAAATTAAAATTTTCTATTTCTGTATGTGGGTTCCCTGAATTACCTGTAACAATGAATGCTAACATAACAATTACCTAGAATTTGCCCTGAATGGACTCTGTGTAACATTATACAATGCTAAAATAGCATTTCTTGTAGTAACACAATTGAAGTATTGTAATTGGGTATAGTTCTCTATCATTCCTGTTCCTTTGTTGACTATTGTTGAGTACTACGGTGGACACAAACTTTCTAGAAGTCAAAAAATGAACAAAGTCCCGTTGTAATAAACAGAAAGATTACTGGAGTACATGCATGTACCAACAAAGAGTAATAGTGCATAATAAAGAGGAAAGATTAAGGTTTGAAAGTACAAATAACTGCCCAATTTTGGCCTGGCACAGTTAGGCTCATAATCTTATAGTACTCACCCTGTTACCAAGTGGTACAAATTAGCAGAGAATGAGCTCCAAGAATAGATACCGGTATAGGAGATGCATAAGAAATGTACGGATACATTGGATGTACATTTACAGAGAATCATGAAACTCCTCTTGTAAACACTAAACACTAAATATGAATTTCAATTAGCCTATTTCATGGTTATAGAGTAACCACTGTTACCATGAATTCAATGGCTGCCTGTAAAGAGCTAGTTAGTGATAATTGTGAGATAATTGCTTTTCATAGTAATAATGGATGGTGCATACACACACACACAATCCTTTGCCTGGGCTACAGTACTGGCCTAGCTCATCCACTCTCTATCTCTACTCTTGCATTTTTGAGTATGTGCATATGTAACTAGTGGCAACCGTCGCCCTGGAAACGTGGAGGTGTCAGGTGATATGATGTCGTCGTAGGCATACTGTCTATCATCATGACCATGCCAGGAAATAGAATTTCAATGGAAGAGTGATAGAGAAGGTAACCGAGAAACAAGAGAAGTGAGATTACTACGTCAAAACATTAAACAGTGTTAGGTAATCAGCCAAATGGAAAAAATATGCACCAGACAGCTCTAAATCTTATATTAGTCACACAACTGTTTGCATGGAAGAGCTAGGTTTACAATTGCCATCAATATAAAATGCAAAAATGAGCAGCAATTATAAGAATCATTGAGCAGCATGATTTAGAATACATTATAATAGTCAAAGGAAGCTCTGCTTACTGCCATTGGAGCAATCACTAAACAATGTCAGAAAGATCCATGCACTGTTAGCTGCATGGACCTGCAGAGATAGCTAGCTGTTACCATAAACAGCAGACAGTCTGACATGCAACGAGGCTTTAAAACATTTATAGTTTAGTAGCTACTCTTTCTAGGAAGAGCCGTCTCAATGGTGAGGGCTGATGTTATCAGCATTGAGCCTTTGTCTATTTATTTACATTAGCAGTTATAAAATACACACAGCACTTACCTCCTCAAGAGGAATTGGCAGCATTTTCGCTATCATTCGCGGAAAAGTAGGCACACACACAAATAGGAAAGTAGCACAAGAAAAGGGCTTTCCGCTGCAAAGTAAAGATGTTTCTCGGTAAATGTGCATTATATGTGAACTGTTGCTACTACCATGAATGTGTAGTGTGTGTACACAGTTCTTAGAATTTTGCCCTTCCAAGAAAAAGCAGGTCAGGGCCCGCCTACGCAGAGGAGGAGCAATAATACCGCAGCGAGTACACCCACCCTTTAAAATTAAAATTCTATTTCTCATTTTTTTCTGCAAAAGGTGGAGTTTCCATCTATACACATGTCCATCTCCCTGCATTTCTCCACTATTGAGATTTTTATAGATACATTTTAAACTGCCAAAAATTATTTTATTTAAAAAACATAATTGCTCTGTCCATTAGAAAAAAAATCACTCGCTAATGTTAAAATTTAGATTTTCCAAAATATAATAATAATAATGATAATAATAATAATAGAGGAATGTGTGTTTTCTACTGATAACATGATTGCATTGCATCACACTGAAAATAGGCGTGGTCAATGCAAACCACACCCAATCAATTATCACTTCTTCTTTGTGGTGGGCGTGTTTTTCAACTGCTGAAGCTCGGATTGAGCCCTTTGAGATTGCAAAGCAGCTTTCTTCTTATTAAATTCTTTTATTTCAGCTTCCTAAAAATTCGGAGAAATAAAATAAAAATGATAATACAAAGCCATGCCCACTTGGAGGCGTTTCCTCTCGTCCAGGGCAGCCTTTTTCTCCGAATGCTGTTGGCGCAATTTTTCAAACTCGTCGTGCAATTTCTGCTCTGCTAGCTTAAGCTCGGCCTCTTTTTCTTTCACCTAAAAATAAAAAATAAATATACAAGTACTATTGTCACCATATTGTACTAATTAAAATGGGCGTGTCACTATTCCCTCCCGGCCCCTGACAAAAGATTCCCATGGTAACAGTATTCCCATGGTAACAGTTCTAACCTTCTGGACAAACATTTGTCGCATGTGCTCTTCCTTGGATTGCATTTCTTTGAAGTGCTCCTTCCTCTTCTGCTCATAAGCCTCCGAAAGACTGTGGGACAATAAATAATAATAATAATAATAATAATAATAATAATAATAATAAATAGTAATTGATATATTGTTTTCTTCATTCCTTTACCCTGTATTGTCTTCAAAGCCCATCTCCTCAAGTCTTTTCTTGCGATACAGCTCATAGTGCTGGTAGTGAGTCTTTTCCCTCAAATCCTCCATATTGACCCTAAATACATGTACGTACATTTTAAAGATAAGCATAAGTACATGTATAGTGTACATGTACATCACATAATTTTTATAGCGTTGTTTTTTTTTTCCAAAAAATTGGCTCCAAAATCAACTGATTTCAGTAAAAAAAGGATAGGCTATTATTATACAGCCCATGATTTTTTTTCCAAAAAATGCTTCAAAAATCATCTCAAATTTATATTATATTTTCTGATACATATTGGTGTCCTTATGCTGTGTAGAAAGTTTAAGCCAATTCTGACTTCAATTTTTCAAGTTACAGCCATTTTTAAAAATTGGCCATTTTCTGAAAAATACCCTGTACTATAAGCCCATGGTTTTTTCCAAAAAATGGCTCCGAAATCACACCCAATTTTTATTACATTTTCTGATACATATTGGTGTCTTTATGCTGTGTAGAAAGTTTGAGTTGATTCCGACTTCAATTTTTTGAGTTACGGCCATTTTTAGAAAAGGCCAAAATTTTGAAAAACACACAAGGCTATAGTCCATGGTTTTTTCCAAAAAATGGCTCCGAAATGACTCCCAATTTTTATTACATTTTCTAATACACATTGATGTCCTTATGCTATGTAGAAAGTGTGAGTCAATTCTGACTTAAAATTTTCGAGTTACGATCATTTTAAAAACTCCTAATTTCCAAAAAGTGCCCTGTACTATAGCACAAGCATTAAAAAAATTGCTCAAAACTCTCACAACTTTTTCTATCATAAAAACATACATGTTGTATTTGCACTAACCTCAGGAGCATCTCACGTAGTTTAGTGAAATCGCAATGAGCTTCATTCTCAACTAGAAAAGAAAAATACATGTACACCAATCACGAGTGTAGATATATGTACATGTATATATATATGTACATATACATGTACATAGGAAGATGAAGCCTTAGCTAGTGGACAGGAGGTAGGTACACCTCCATGTTGAGGTAATGGGCCAGTACATTATTGTGCTTGAGTGTATTGAGGTACATTAAATTTGGTATATATGTACATATATATGTAATTCATTTCATTAAACGCTAATACATGTACATATACACACCTTCAACAGTGCCCCATGGATACTTCCTGGCTCGGACTTTCTTTCCTCCAACTTCAACTTCTTCCCGACTGCCAATAACAGCAAAAGGAAGCTGTGACTATAATCAATAAAACAGAAAAATGATATATTTAATTGCATCTCTCTTCTCTTACATTCATTTTTTGGTTCAGGTCAGCCACCGATTCGTCAGAAGTCGGGAATTGATAAATGCGAATATCGTTAGTGATTATCTCATCCATTATCTACAGGAAAAACCATCCATGTATCACATGACGTAATATTAATAATAATAATAATATAATAATAATAATAATAATAGTAGTAATAGTAATGTTAGTTACCCTTTTCTTAAAGTCTTCTAGTTCAGAGCGAGCAATGGTATCAGCTTTAGCTATTATTGGGATTATGTTCACTTTCTGATCAAGTTCCTTCATACATACCAAATCAAGTGATTTTAAACTGAGAGAGTGAGAGAGAGAGAGTGAGAGAGAGTGAGTGAGAGAGAATTGAATGTACAAATCTCTCATGACAATCCAAAATGAATTAAAATGGACTTAATTAACCACAAAAATCCTATCAATCAAATCACTAGTAACACACCTCCACTTATTAACTCCAAATAAAGCCCACAACACCACATTTAAAGATCAACAACAACAACAAAATAAATGATACCACAGTAACAATTTCTAATATCCTATTTTCTATATTGTTGTTACTTGTTATCTTACTGGCCCAAGCCCCTATCATTAATTATTAATTAAAAAACTTACGAGTGTCCAGTTGGACATATAAAGTAAATGCAAGCATGGATCCTTGTGTCGTGAAAGGATACAAGGTCTCGCTTTATCTTCAGCTCTTCTTGAAGGAAACTCTCGTACTGCTCATCAATGTACTTCACGATGGCTGTATTACTAGGGGGAGGGGCTTTGAGTCTGTTCTAAAAATAGTAACAACAAACCTGTGCTCTTTGTTGATCTGATCACCAAAACCTTCAGTGCTAACTACAGTTAGTCTTAGCCTCACATTCCCCTCTCTCAAACCTAAAATAACAATAGTAAATAACTCAATATACTAATCGGTATATTCCAGTATATTAGTCTGTATACTCTAGCTCTAGTATTATAATAAATAACTCAGTATACTAATCAGTATATTCTAGTATATTAGTCGGTATATTCTAGTATACTAATACTCACTGTAGGTATTGTGGCTTAGTTTCACGTCAGGTTGCTTGTGTGAGACAGGAGTGTCTTTGAAATCCTCCTTGAAGAGAGAATCCATCAACGTTGACTTACCGATCCCAGTTTCACCTAGAAAGAAAGAGAGAGAGAGAGAGAGAGAGAGGGGGGGGGGAGAGAGAGAGAGACAGACAGACAGACAGACAGAGACAGAGACAGAGAGAGAGATAGATAGATAGATATATATTAAGATATGATGACATAACGATTGTAAGCATTGTCCACATTCTTCAGATATGTCACAAACCCTTCATTATACCACACATCATCAATAAAAGCATAAGGACAAATAACAAAATAGCTATATACAACAGAACAACCCTGGCTACAACCAAAAACAGCCAAATGTCACACCAATAAAAATATACGAACATTACTCTAATTAATGCCCAAGAATACTATCTCTAATTAATGTCCACACCCCAGGTCCCTTCCTTACCAATGCAGAGTATGTTGAAGTCAAATCCTTTCTTGACGGACTTGTTGACAAGTTGATCAGGGAGGCTATCGAACCCGACATGGCCAGTCAAATCAAGATTACGGGATGTGTTGCCCTGTTTAATAAAGTGAAATAGAAAAGTTATACATACATAATGAATATCAGTGGAGAATGGTAAAAGTTAAAAATATTCAAACTGCACTTGTACAGTATACTAATAATCAGTCAAAAATTCATCTATCATTTTCCAGTATTATTACTCACCAGGACACGATGAACGTCAGTGTAGGAAGACATTCTGTAACTTCAATCTACTGCTTCTCCTATAGCCCTCTCCACACAATTCTCCACCACTGGAATCCCAATTATGAGAGTCTCACGTGATCCGCACCTTGTAACGGAGATATACGGAATGTTGAAAAAGCGGAGTATTCTCCCGCGCCCGCCAAAGTAGAGATTAAAATACTTTTTGTAGAAATAAAACAGCTTCAGAAACAATTGTTAAATAAAAGAATTAGTGAAAAGAGAATACACTAGATAGTAGTAATCACTCTAGGACATTATAATAATAGGAAAAAAAGAATACAAAAAAGAAAAGAGTTTTTTTTGAGAGAGAAGATGCATTGTCTTGTAATAGATACAGCATTACTAACATTGAAATCTAAGAATAATCAATAATCATAGCAAATAATAATAATAATAATAATAATAATAATAATAATAATAATAATAATAATAATAATAATAATAATAATAATAATAATAATAATAATAATAATAATAATAATAATAATAGTGCGTTTAAAATTGGTTAAGTTCAGGAGGGAAGTTGTTCACTTCTCCTTGTTCTAGAACAGGGGCACCTGAGACAGTGTAATTAATCCTTGTCTTCATTCTTAACGGTTGCTGTAAGGAACAGGAAGAGGCTCATTATGAACATAAGCCTTTGTGTTTCTCTCTTATGTTCTTTCCTCCCTCTCGTCTCTCTCTCCCCTCTCTCTCCTCTCTCTCTCTCTCTCTCTCTCTCTCTCTCTCTCTCTCCCCTCTCTCTCTCTCTCACTTTTTGTGGATTCTCAATATTTATAACTTGTGTCACATTCCCCTGATTGTGTGCTGGTATGACATTCCCACTAGGAGGCTGCATCTGAAGCTTAAAAGTCTACAAAAGAGCAAAAAAGAATTAGCATTTATCATTACAAGTATAAAACACATGTGTACATGAGTCTGCTTCATTTTATCTATGAAATATTTTAATTTTATTTCATTGCTTGACTGACTTTTGGTATAGCTGCTTGAAATACAAAATCACTAAATGGAAGATTTGAAGAATTAGTGGCTAGAAGGGTGATGCTTATATTTGTCCCATTCTTTTCAAAGTGGAACTCAATCTTTAAACTATTCTTCTCAAAAGCTATAATACTGGGAATACCTGAATGAGGAATTTTTAAAAATAATTTGAAAAGTTAATGCGATTTCAAAGACCCACTCTGTGATACTGGAGGAGGTGGAGGAAGAGTAGAATCTCCTGGTCCACCCAATAGGTCCATTAGTCCTCCAAAATCACCACCAGAGGTAATGGGTAGAGCTAAAATAATATAAACACAAGCATAAATACATGTACATGTACATGTAGTTTTAAATATAAGAGTTTAAATTATTGCAATTTAATAAAATATTTTAAACTATAAAGGATGTGATTTACCAAGTGTTGTTGGTGGGCTCATATCAAGGAGGTCCAACAAGGCTCCGCCTCCAGAAGTGGGAGGGGCAACAGTCGGAGTGACGTCTCCTCCCAGTAAATCCAACAGTGATGGCTCTTGGGCAGTTGGAGCCGGCTATAATAAAAATAATTGACCACACACACACAATATTAAAAAGAAATACCTCCGAAACGAGTGATATTTGTTCTTTCTCGGGTTCTCCGTTTTCTAAAAGTTTTGCATTTTCAACGACGCCACCTGAAGTCCCTCCCTTTCCCATTAGGGGCATCCTCTCAAAAATGCCACTCCTATTAATGAAAAATAGTATATCTCAGGATACTAACGGTATTTTTTCAGTATACTACAGTATATCTTTAGTATACTATACATAATCAGTATATTTTAGATATGGACTTTCTTGCCTCATTCCATCGTGTTTGCTAAAGATGGCTCCATATTCCACAGCTCTTTGCTGTAGCTCTGTGTCCAGGTTATTGCAATACTGAGATATTATCGATTTTATCTGTGGCAAAGTGGACGAGAACCTACAAAATAAATAAATAAATAAATAAATAAATAATAATAATAATGACGATAAAATGCCTTCACTAATATACATGTACCTGGTTGATAGTTTCATGATTGCATTTATCGCATAACTTCTAGTGATCTGTGAAGACTGAGGACTTTTCAAAACCTTTAAAACAACATCAAGGACGTCTTCTTCTGTCACCTGCAGAGGGCGTGTCAATGGGCGTGGTCTATGACAAACTTACTTCAGAGGGCGTGTCACTTCCTGTTTCATCTGCTAGCAACAGATCACCATACTCACCAATGGACCATATACCAACTTGACATAACGGTTGCTACATGTGCATGTACAACAAAAAAAAAGATAAAAGTTACATTGTACATGTACATGTACATGTACATGCATATTTTCTGTCATTATATTCTCCTGGGTTTCCTGCAAAGCATGCTAAGCGAGCTAAAAAGCATACAGTACGTATGACTACATGGCATTTGGAGCAACTTTAAAAATTCGTAAAAAATCCAAATTTAATCGGAATCAGCTCAAACTTTCTACACAACATAAGAACATCTATATGTATCAGAATTAGTTATGAAAATAGAGAATTTTCTCCTTTCGATTTTTTGTGAAATTCGGCCTGTGACCCTGTACTATAGTACAGGGACTTTGGCCCGATTTTGGAGCAAACTTTAAAAATTCGTAAAAAATCCAAATTTAATCGGAATCAGCTCAAACTTTCTACACAACATAAAAACATCTATATGTATCAGAATTAGTTATAAAAATAGAGAATTTTCTCCTTTCCATTTTTTGTGAAATTTGGCCTGTAGCCCTGTACTATAGTACAGGGACTTTTACCCGATTTTGGAGCAACTTTAAAAATTCATAAAAAATCCAAATTTAATTGGAATCAGCTCAAACTTCCTACACAACATAAAAAATGTATATGCATCAGAAAAAAAAATTATAAAATGGGTAATTCTCTCCCTTTCATTTTTGGTGAAATTTAACCCATGACCCTGTACTATCTTACCTGACTGATATCATCCCGAAGTGCAAAGAACAGCTTGTGTGCGCTGTATCCATGAAGATCCTCAGCATCAGAGACCATGCAAATAATTCCGGACACTAAATCCTCACGCACGTGAGCTCCAGCCTACGTGTGACATCATACGACATCATATGACATCATGTGATGTCGTTACATACCTTTATAAGCATTGAGAGAACTGCATTAATATGCCAACTCTGATCAGGAGAATATCTAATAATTTTTTAAAATAAATTTTGAATAAAATTTTTAAAACGTGAATGCATAAAATCTATCTCACTTGTCGGTAACTTGAAGAATATTGGTGCAAATCTGACTCTTAAACTCCGGCTCTGCTGTATCAAGGAATATCATTATCTCCTTCATTATGGACCGGATGTTGTGCTCATTAATTAGAGCAAACGAGAGCTCCAGTGCCCTCTTTTGGATTGAGATGTCGTTCTCTTTGAGACAGTCCAAAATGGTCGACCTGTGCCTCTGGACAGCATTGTGTTCAACATGTACAGTTTTGAGTAAAGTATTGAGTGCCACGTAGCTAAGAGGGTGAGAATAAAGAAGAAACATGTACATGCACATGTGAGAATAAAGAAGAAACATGTACATGCACATGTGAGAATAAAGAAGAAACATGTACATGCACATGTGAGAATAAAGAAGAAACATGTACATGCACATGTGAGAATAAAGAAGAAACATGTACATGCACATGTGAATGCATACATGTACATGTAAAAAATGAAATAAAAGAAGAGTGTGTGTGTGTGTGTGTGTGTGTGTGTGGGTTTATAAATTAATAAAATACTTCAAATTTCAGAACATACCGTGCAATATGCATACACAAAATTAAAACACATGTACGTGTCGTGTACATGTACATGTATATACAAAAATTTAGTTTTAAAATTTAGTTCTGCACACGCAAAACAATTTAGTTTTATTTTATTTAAAATTGGAACGTACCGGATGTTCCTGTCGCTATTGCTAAGGAAGCGACCGAGGATGTTGATAGCTAGGACACGCAGTCCACTCTCTGACATAATGTCCATTATTGTTAAGACAGTCTCGTAGAGTACAGCATGACCGACATTCTTACCACTCTCAGTGTTAGTGGCAACCTGCAAAGAAGAGAGACAGAGAGATAATGAATTTGTATATGAGTATCTAATAAAATTTTTACATGTACATGTACACATACACACATGTATATGAGTCATTCAGAAAACTTTTCATATTCATAAAAATAATATTACACAATACATGTACATGTACAGTGGTAACCTTTGATGTACATGTACATGTACATGTAAATGTATATTAATAATTATTCATTGAAATATTCCTCACTTGGGCCAGTATGTCATTCATGGCTTCACTTGAGTCTTGGTCCCCTCGTCCTAATATCCTTAACAGTCTTAATATATGTACCTGAGGAGGCGTGGCTAGAATTAATTAATTAACTAAGGGGGCATGTCCTTACCTGAAGGAAGGGATCACTAATGCCGTGAACATCGTGCTCAGGCGTATAGCCAGACATAACGAGGTTTTTTAATATACGAATGAGATTTGGAATAAACTAAAAAAAGAAAATACATCATCACATGAATAATACACACATAATACTACACATTAATTATCCAAATAAGGAAAGGTGATAAGCTTACTCGTCTGAAGTGTGAAAGAGAGTCTGGATTAACTTGACACATTGCTGTTACGAGGGAAACAGTGGTTAGTAACACGCCGTGGTTCTTCTCGTTTAGGAGAGAGCGAGTAGCAGGAACGAATACTTCCATTAGATCAGGGACCTTGTATACTAGACGAACAGCACAAAGGGCAGCCTATAGAAAGGAATCAAAAATGAAAGATACATGTACAATGAAGTACATTAACATGTACAATGAAGTACATGTACATGTACAATGAACTACATGTACACATGTAGCTACATGTACATGTACATACATGTATATGGTGTATGCATAGTGCGAATAATGTATCTTGATTATGAAGAAGAGAGAAAGGGACAAAGTCTTATTGTGACAATGATTGTGAGATGCAAATCATGTACATGTACATGATTTGCATTTACATTGTACATGCATACATGTATGTACATGCATATGCATGTATGTACATTGTACATGTATATGTCTTGAAAATGATTTACATGTACATGCATGAGGCTTCTGTTACCTTTCTGACTATGTAAGGGTTGGTGGACTTCAATAGTTTTTCTACTTCACCACACAAATCTCTGCTCATGCCCTCAGAGCAAATGCTAGAGGAGAAAGAGATAAGAATTAAAATATGTAAATAGACGTGTGTAGCTTTATGGATAATGTTGTTGTATATGTACATGTAAATGTACATGTACATATACATGTACATTTGTACATGTATGTGTGGATTATGTGCAATAATGAATATCAATACCTCCCCAAAGCACAGAGAGCTAATCCCACAACATATTGTACTTGATGATTCATATCACTAAAAGAGAGAGAGAGAGAAAGAGTAAGAGGCTTATCAAAAACAAGATGAGTACTTTTTCATCGAGTTAGTTATGAGCAGGTGGACATCTTGTCTCTCGTCCAGAAGCATCATAGCACCTAAATATCCGACACGTTTGTCAGAAAACGTTGGACTTGCAATTAACTTGAGACACTCCAGCTGAGAGAGAGAGAGAGAAAAAGAGAGAGAAATCAAAACATCTCTTAGTTTAGTCTCTTTCATGTTATACCTGTCCAAAGTGGGCGGGGTATCCCATCATGTGTATGTACAATAATTTCGCTACATTTCTGGCACGATTCTCTGAGTCTTCCTCTCGAAAAGATGTTCTAATTAAAGCACACTCCTTGTTGACAAGATCCCTTTCGTCTTGGGCAGTTCGGCAAGCCCTAATTGCACGAATGAGGTCTTTCAATCTTAGCGAAATGATGGGCATTATTTAGAAGGGAATCTAAAAGAACAGAGAGCAATGGACGTGGAGGTCAAAATAATGTGAAAATGAATTCAAGCAAACCGTGCTTTACAAGTTAAAGCTTTCTTACTTGTTAAAAAGCTACAAGAGATAAGTTAGTTGATCTTCACTCCTTCCACGAGCATAAAAGCAGCCTCTAAAGGTCTCGGAGTATATCAGGAGAGACAGAAACTTGGGGTTCGCCTAAGACGCCATTTTGTCTCCTTACACAGAGGTACAAAAGGCCCACGGGAGCCGCCCATTATTAGTAGAGGGCGGGGCCGGAAATGCTAATTATTAAACCACACCTATTAGTGTAAATAGGCGTGGTTTAGATATTGTGTAGCCACACCCTTACATTAAGCATGCATGGCGAGCTAACTTTTAAAGCGCCTCACTATGTTTATTAGAAGAACTAAGCAGGTATCTTTATAAGCAATTCAAGAATTAAAAAGTAAGAGAAATAGAAAAGAGAAGGAAAAGCTGCACAACAGCCTCAAGTTTGAGGGCTTCAAGGTGATGGGCTTTAATTAGGAATGTTCTGTATCATTACTCAGGGCCTTTGAAAATGCAAATAAGAGACACAGAGAAGCTTAAAGTATGGCTACTGAAGAAGCTCCAGCCATTGTAAGTGAACAGAATTAATTGTTTAAGAATAGTTCTATTTAATTGTATTTTTGAATACTCATTTCATTGTATTTTTATTTATTTTAAGGTGCGATGCTGATCCAGCCGCTCTCTCTAAGTACATTGTTGCTCTACTGAGGAAGGAGAAGCCTCGCTCGGCTCTTAAGGATCTCTGCATTAACCAGTTGGAAGTGTTTCTCTCTAAAGGTAACGCCTACCACATGCTACTCTTAGTATGTATTTTCCCAAATAGAAACACCCACGTTTGTCGACAAGTTATTTCGCAGTTTGGACAGTGAGTCGTACATGACAGGCGGAGACGACTCGGACTCGACTCCGCCCTCTGGACTGATATCAGGCAGCAACAGGAGCAGCCTTGAGAGCGTTCGGAGCTCAGGAGGCGTGGCTAATAGCGTCTCCCCTTCTATGATGGTCCCAGAGAGGATCGTCACTGACCACAGGAGACAGTCTGAAGACATGAGACACAGAGAAGTGAGTGGAAGCCATTTTGAGTAGAAACCATTTTGTTTTGATTATCAAATATCTCAAGTCCAATTAACAAGATTACACGTACATGTACATGAACTTTAAATAGACTTTATCATTTTTCCTTGGATCTTGTTTCTTGTAATTGAATCAAATCTTTCTCTTTGAAGGTTGATGATGACGATAGGGATTTCCGCAGAGCTCACTACCGCCATGAGCCCTCTCCCTCTCTCTACCCCGCCCACATTGGAGGGGGAGGGGCCTCGGGCAGTGGAACGGGAGCAGCTGAGAAGAACAAGATAAAGAAAAAGATAGAGATTGATCCTCCAAGAAGATCGATACGACAGAGACTGGGGAATAGAGAAGATGAGAGAAGGTAAGAGAGAGAGAGAGAGAGAGAGGGAGGGAGGGGGAGAAAGAAAGAGAGAGAGAGCACACTTGATGTACATATTTAAGTGTACATAATTTGATTTGGTTTGTTTATTTTGAAACTGAAGCTTACTCATTGTCCTTAACGACTATCTAGTGTACATGTACGTGTACATTTATCTAAAACTATGTTTTCATTTGATATTTCTGAGTAGAATTAGATGTAAATAATAATTATTCATTAATTAGGAGGAGGAGGCCCAGGAGTAGAAGCAGAAGTCGTAGCAGTACTCCTGATCGTCAGAGCAGCAGGTCATCAAGTACTACCCCACCACCTGATATAGAAGACAGAAGCAGACGCAAGCGTATCCATACTGACCCAATGGGCGGAGTCAGCAACGACTTGAAACCGGTTGCTAAGCGACAGCGTTGTAAAGATTATGATGGTACGTTAATAATAATGATAATGATGATAACTTTTCTCCTTCTTTCTCTCCTCTATTAGAGCGTGGTATGTGTCTGCTAGGTGAACAGTGTCCATTTGATCATGGAAATGATCCGCTGGTCATTACTGGGATGCCTCCTTATCCTCCTCCCCCTCCTCCTCCTCCTTTCCCCCTCTCTCTTCCTCCGCACCCGCCACCTCACCATCACCTACCGAAAACTAATGCCGGTAAGTGTAAAGTACTCACAAAATGGGTAGAGTACATTTTCTGATGCATATTGACGTCCTTATGCTGCGTAGAAAGTCTGAGTTGATTGTGACTGAAATTTTTCAAGTTATGGCCACCTAAAATTCTAAAATGCATCATATGCACATACATGTACATGTTCATGTGCTGTATTCTATGCTTGCTTATTTCCAAAACATATCAAAGCCACTGCCCTTTATACTGTACATGTATGTTGTATGCATGCACATGTATCATCATAATGTACATGTGCATGTATGGTGTATATAAACCAGAGACTCATTTTAGAATTCGCAAGCTACATTAATACTAATACCTTACACACTCCCTCCCTTTCTCTCTGGTAGCTGATGGATACAATCCTGAAGATCCTTCCCTCACAGCTGGTGCTAATCCTCCTCCTCTCCCTCCTCCCCCTCTCCTTCCTCACCAGATCCCTCCCCTTCGTCCCGCCTTTCCTCCTCCTATCCCCCCAATCCCACGTCTCCCTCACATCCCCCCAATGCACTCTAATCCACCTCCTACAATACCCTCGGCTTTCACACCTGTTAGCTGTCAAGCTCCACCCATTGCCCCACCCACAAGGTAAGAAAAAGATTTTAAACTAAATTTTTAATGTTGCTATTTTTAGACACGTTCATTATGGTGGGGCTGGAGGCGGAGCCAAGCCACACCCAGGCAGATCCAGTGACACAATTGTCCTTAGAAAGATACCAAAAGATCTCAACACTATCACCAAACTGAGTGGCTACTTTGAAAAATTTGGAAATATTGTCAATCTACAGGTACATGTAGCACAAAAACACTTAATACGAATAATTACTTTTGCATTTATACATGTATATTTATACACTTGTGTCAAATTGTGTAGGTGAGGTATGAGAATGATCCAGAGTCTGCTATTGTACAGTTTTCTTCACCTTCTGAAGCAAAGGCTGCTCACGATTGCACTGAAGCTGTACTTAATAATAGGTAACAGAGGTTATCAATATACATGTACTTGTATTATTTATTATTATTATTATTATTATTATTATTATTTTAGGTTTATTCGTGTCTATTATCTTAAAGGAGGTTTGGGCGGGGTTGGAGTAGGCGGGGCTGAGAACAAGCATCATCATAATGCTCCTCCCACTTATCATCAAGCCAATAAGAAGGAAACTACAGTTAGCAAAATTATTATTATTTACATTATTAATTACTAGAAGACGTATTTACATGTACTGTACATACAGTTACAGCATCTCTCTTTATCTCTCTCTCTCTCTCTCTCTCTCTCTCTCTCAGTCTTCACAGCCTACTGTCAATTCTTCCTCTAATAAGCAGCCACAAGAAGTCATCTCTACTTCTTCTCCGTCTCTCCCTCCGTTGCAGGCTCCGCCCGCCCATTCCTATCCTCAGCATCGTCCTCAGAAACCCTCACCTGCTCCTGTCTCAGTCTCGGCGGCAGCTGCCAACTTAAAGCGACTTGAACTTCAGAAGAAAACCCAGTCTTTGCTGGAAAGCCAAATACAGCAGCAGAAAGTGAGCGATGCTGGTTTTTAAATAATTGTTTGCATTTTTTAATTGTTTGTTTATTTTTATCATTTTGTAGTTGTTGTTGGATAAATTGGAGAAATGCTCAACTGAAGAGAGGGAAAAGATATTACTTGTAAGTCACAGGGATCATAAATACATGTACGTATACACTGCAGCATTTTCAAGGGCTATACATACATGTACATGTGCTTTTTGTGGATTTATTTCCTTGATTCTTTAAAGTCTTACATGTATATTATGCAAAAAATGTACATGAAGGATTGGGGAAATTTGAAAAAATCTCAAAATTCAAAAATAGATTATTAGGCAAATTTTTGGCCCTTGAATCTCTGCAGTAATAAATTTTACTTCATTGTTCATGTTCTTTCTCCTATTCTGACTCTCTCTAGACTATTAAGTCTCTTAATTCCAGTGTCAATAAGCTGAGGGATTCACTCTCTTCCGTTGCAAAAGCCACTGCCTCTAAGCCAAACCCTACTGGAAATAGGGGCATGGTCAAATCCAAGCAAGCCACGCCTCCTTTGACCTCGTCTACCATGTCTCTACAGCAACAAGCTGACCAATTAAGAATGGAGGTTTGAGCTAAGCATGTTAAAATTATTTTAATTGCATGTCCATGTAGGCTCAGCAATTAGGTATTTTACCTTCGTCCAATGCCACGCCCATGGGTACTAACGATTTATTGAGTGCCACACCCACTTATACCAAGGATCAGCATAATAATGAACAGAGGAAGAAGGTGGAGCCAAAAACACGTCAACTTCTAGTGGTCAATGTGGAAGACAAAGAGGCTTTAGTGAAATATTTTGAGGTATAAGCAGTATGGAACTATGCATCTACATGTACATGTACGCATACAAACTATTAATGTATTTTCTCTTTCTCTTTTACTTGGATACACTAGCCATTTGTGATGAAATACCCTGTATTCCAATGAATTTAAAAATTTCTAAAAAAAATTCAATTTCGATTGGAATCAGTTCAAACTTTCTACGCAATATAAGAGCATATGTATATTAGAAAAATTATAAAATTGAAGAATTTTCTACTTTTCAGTTTTGGTGAAATTTGATCTGAGACCAAATTTAGAAAATTTCTCCCAGCCATTTTTGACGACATTATTTTTTTTCTTTCTTCTTTAGTCGTTTGGTGGTCTGACACAAGTAGAGAGAGGCCCTGATAATCCTAAAAACCTCATTTTTACATTCAAAAGCAGGAATGTTGCAGAAAAGGTACCCTATACAATTTATCGTAATAATTTAACTCTATACTGTGTATAGATACTGTACATGACTACATGCATGCAGAATCTTTAATTATTTGTATGTTAATGTACATGTACATGTACATGTATATTTTTTAGGCTGCTAAGGGATCTCTGTTCCAAGGAAAGCCGCTAATAATGAAATGGTACACTCCTAAACCACCGCCCAGTCCAACCGAAAAGAAGGCCACACCTCCAATTATTCCACCTCCCGGAAAACCCCCGTCGGTTTCAAGTCACGAAACTAAAAAACAAGCTCCTCCCACCTCGTTATCACTATTAGACGAGGTAAAAACACTTAAAATTTAAATTAAAAGTTAAAAAATGTTTTTAAATTTTATTTAGCTGAAGGATCTTGAGGCTGAGCTTCAAGAAGAGTCTCTGATTGATGTCTACACTCCCGAGCAGTCGGTTCCTCGTGTTGTACATTTACTGGACGATGAAGAGGAGGAGCTTGATGAAAGATCCTGGCGTCACTGACCATGCCCACTTCTTAAAGGGACGGTATTCTAAATTTAATTAGTATTGTGGGCGGTGCTACCACAACAATTGTTTAATTAGATTCATACCCTCAATAATGTTATTATTAATTATTATTATTATTAATTTCTGTGCACAATGACTCTACTAGTATTAATCATTAATATTATGCCATTATTATTATTATTATTATTATTATTATTATTATTATTATTATTATTATTATTATTTGACGAAAGAGAAACAAAAGCCATGGAAAAAAATGACTGATATTTAAAAAAAGAAAGAATTGAAAAAAAAACAATAATATTGAGGCTGAAAAAATGAAACAGCCCGTTAAAAAATAATTGAAACCATGGCTACACTTGTATTGTTGTTATTATTATTATTACTATTTATTATTATTATTATTATTTATTTTAACTGACAAAAGATCTCACCTGGTATCACCCTGGCCCTTGGGCTTCAAAGATCCTCTCTCTCTCTCTCTCGTTTCTTTTTTTCTTTCTACTCTCCCTTTCCTTCTTAACCTCTCTCCTAGCTACACTCTATCTCTCTCTAATAAAGTCTCATTGTCAATGTGTATTGTCTTACTTCCATCATTAGGTTTGTTCCATACCTCCTATTATCAAAAATGATGTGGATGTGAGTGAGTTTAATATAAGATCCACCAATGTTCATGTGCATGTACATTATAACATTCTACACTGAGACAACTAACTATAAATGAAATGATCACGTGTGCTTTTAATGATTATTAGCACTTTTTGACACTTGATTCCTACTGGTAGTGCTATTTCCCTCCTTTCCTTTCATATTATTATTAACAATAATTAACAAAGCCCATATTGGATATGAAAGAAATCTGATCCAATAGTGATCCGTATAAAACCAGTTGTTTGAAACTTGTAAGTTTAGTCTACCGAGGAGGTTCGGAGATGGTTCGATTCCAACTAACTAAGGACTGTGCAGCTGCCCTTTTGAAGAAGATATGGACAATCTTTGTGATGATTGTCAACTGGAACCCAGGCTTATTGTTTAAGTTTCGTTTCGAATACTGCAAGGACCTTTATCAGGAATTCCTTTACACCAACTACGAGGGTCAAATAATTTCGATGCTTCTTGCTAATGCTGTCTATGAGATGTTTCTGGCCTTTACCCACCTCAACTGGAACTTGGAGTACTCTCCCAAGTTCATTGCCTTTGGTATTGCTGCAGTTATTTTTCAGTTAGGCTTGATCCTCCTCAAAATTTTTAACGGAGGATTATTCAAAAAGATCAACAAAGCTGTATTTTTTCTCGATTCCATCATACTCTTGCTGTTTGAGCTGTTCATTGTCTTTGACTCAAAGTCCATAGAGTTTGAATTGCTTTTCTCGCTTGCCTTTTTGGTCAACATCACAGCAAGTCTCCATAACAGCACCTTTCTGATGTTCCTCTTAATAATTGCTGTCTGTGTCCTGTACATATTTGGCTACTCCAATTATACTAGCCTTGGGATGAAGTACCAGTATGAAGAGGTGATAGTTATCACATGAAACCATACCATAAACTGCTAATAATGCTAATGATATAGGCATACACTAATTTGCTATGTCACACTATTCTCATATCATTTTTTGCAGGTTGTTGCTGGCTATGTAATATTGATAACGGCTAGTTTCTTGTGCTTTGTTGTTCACTTCTTGATCAGCAAGCATAAAAGGATGTCCTTTGAAAAGATTGAGAACAGCGTCAAGACTCAACTGGACATTGAAAGAGAAGCAGCGAAACAGGCATGCATGAATATGATATTTCTAAATACAGTTTCACTCTTGTTATATTTTATAGGAAAGACTCCTTCATTCAGTATTTCCACCTGACGTTGCTAAAGCAGCTCAGACAATCTTGTCCACTAAAGGAGCTGACCAGTCGTTGGAGAAATTCAGAAAACTCCAAATGACTCGGTCTGAAAATGTCAGGTACCTTTCGGATCAGGGATTGATGTTTGACCATGCACTGTGATCATTTGTGTAGTATCTTATTTGCTGACATTAAAGGATTCACTGCACTCTCTGCTAAGCTTGATGCTAAGACTCTTGTACAGACTCTGAATGAGCTCTTTGCACGTTTCGACTGCCTAGCAGAAGTTATTGATATCATTCTTGCACTACTTTACTCTCTTCTATTATTGTATAGTTGAATAAGTGCATGCGTATAAAGATACTGGGTGACTGCTATTACTGCATTGCTGGGCTTAATGATAAAAACAAGGATCATGCTCAGAACTGTGTTGAAATGGGACTTCAAATGATTAATGTTATCAAGTAATGCCATAGAGGGCTCTGTCTGCATGTATACATGTACTTCTTTTTAATGATGCAGGCTTGTGAGTCGTGAGACGTCTTATGACATTAGCATGAGGGTTGGGATTCACACTGGGTCAGTATTCTCTGGCATCATTGGATTGAAGAAGTGGCAGTTTGATGTTTGGTCGAATGACGTGAATACAGCTAATAAAATGGAGTCTACTGGGGAACCAGGGTCAATTAAGAAGAATATATTTCAGTTTATTATTGTTGTTGTTTTTGCGCTAGGCGTGTGCATATCAGCGACAAAACTTACAAAGAATTAAAAGGTCGATATGGCGTGGAAAGTGGCCCTTTGGTTGATGGAATGAGAACTTATTTTATTGCTGATCAAGCTCAAGACAAAGTAAGAGCTGACAATTGCATGTATCTATGTGTGTATCTTATTGTAGTTACCTACTACCTTACAAGCAGCCAGCATCAACTCGGATACCAGTCCTATTAGTAATGCTAACAGCTACTCATTGATTATTAGTAAATAATATGTAGGTAAAGGCAGCATAGAAGGGCGTAAATCAAATCCTACGAAGCCAAAAAAGGTCTTGAGACGTCATAGAAAAGTTCACCCAGGTAAAACAAAGGATGTATTGACTGGAAGCTTTCAGGAAAGGAGGATGTTTGGTATCTCTGATATAATAAAGACACTTGGAATAACTGTAAATGATAATGTGTTTTATATAATTATTCTTTTACAAAATGTATAGAGGCTGTCCGAAAATGATAGCATCTCAAGGTAGGTCAATTTCAGCAGTCATTAATAATAATAATATACTACTGTATCTCTAAAAGGTTCTTAGCTGGTGATGGATCAAAGTTCCTAGAGCACTTAAGGAAGGTAGTAACCAAAGAGCATTGCCAGAAGTGAGTGCATATTCAATATAAACATGTAATTTGTTATTATTAAATTATTAATTATTAGGCTGTGGAAGAAGTTTGTGCATCGCTACATTTTGAAATTTAAGAAGAAAGAGCACGAAGCTATGGTATGGGCTTTCTTTTTGAGTTAGTTTATTGGTTTGTAGTATGTCAGAGCAGAATTTGAATGCCTTCCATGCTACTGTGTGTCAATGAATGTGATGCTTCTGTTAAATTTTGTGGTACAATTGATCCTATTGCCAAAAAAGTAGGTTCGCATTATAATTTTTTGTTATAATATAATGATCATTGCAGCCGCCCTTTCTTTCTTTTCTTCAACATTACTGCAATAGTCATGGCTACTCTACTAACAACGGTTGTCCTTACTCAGCTATTCTTTGCTGTAAGATGCTGCAGTTCATTGCATAGACTTACAGTCAATCCTCTTTTATACTCTATAGAAGCTGCGAAATGTTTTTTTGAGCAAATTTGTTCAAACTTTGAAGTGCAATCGTATTTGTCGATATTACCTATTTATGATGATGTGGCTAGTAGCTCTGATTTCTTTAACAATAGGACTGGTAAATGGAGAAAGAGAGAAGGAAAGTGATTTGCTATTGTATTTCTGTACAGGTTGAGTGTGAGCCTAATCCAAGCTTCCTGATGCCCTATGATGGGTTCAACACTCAAAGTGCAAGGTGTGATTTTGCAGGAGTAAGCCCTATGTGATTGTCAACAGGATCAAATTAGTATTTAATAGTATTATCTTGTGTTACTTTCTGTGCTCACTCTCTATAATGTGCTGCCAATTTCTGACCTTCCTTTTCTTGGAAAATTATTGATTACCATCTGCACTTTGTTCCACACATTCGTTCTGATGCCTGCTATGTTTTTTGACACTTTATTTCTTCGCTACTACACCCTCTTCCAGAATAACGCTTTGTAAGTATAAAAAAGGAGAAATGAAGGCGTTCACTTTAATTTTCTTTTAATATTAGGGCCAAATTTTTTAGTGAGAAGGTCTACTTTGAAGTCACAGTTGCTTTTATGGCCATATTTGGAATGATAGTAGTTTGGCAGGTTAGAGTGACATGCATTATTAATTCAGTTATATTATTTGTTGCAGTATCAATGTGCTAAGCATATCATTTTCCTTCAAAATCTCGAGGTACATGTATACTGTTATGTACTAGTATTATAATTATAATTTAATAGATTATTGAGAACCAGAGGACAATAGCATTAGTAAAATCCAATAACTGTGTCTTGCTGTCAAGCATACTGCCTAATCACGTTGTGCATCATTTTCTTGACCCAGAAATCAGCCAAATGGTACGTGCATTCATTGACATGCACTATATGAGCTACAATATGTGTTATAGGACCTCTACTACCAGTGTCATCAGAGGGCAGGCGTGATGTTTGTTGCCATTCCAGGTTTTTCTTCCTACTATGATGAATCTCCCGTGAATAATCATGGACTTGAGTGCCTTCGTCTTCTGAACGAGATTTTTTCAGGTAAACAGATAATGAGTGAACTTCAATGATCACAAGCCTTGCAGATTTTGACCAACTCTTGACAGAGGAGCGTTTCTCATGCTTGGAAAAAATAAAGACAATCGGTAGCACGTACATGATAGCATCTGGCTTGCATGTGAGATATGGCAGCAGACATCCACATATATCTATAGTATTGTAACTCTAACAATAGGACAATAGAAAGGGTTGGAATCACCTTGGAGTTTTGGTTCAGTTCTCTTTTGCGTTGAAGGAGAGCCTTCGTTTGCTCAATCTGGAGTCATTCACTAATTTTGAATTGCGAATTGGTATTCATATAAAGGCTATAGTGATGAGTCTTTGTATGGCATGTGTGTAGGTATCAGTCATGGCCCCCTTGTTGCTGGAGTTATTGGTGCAAAAAAGCCACAGTATGACATATGGGGCGACACAGTTAATCTTGCTAGTAGGATGGAAAGCACTGGAATAACTGGGAAAACACAAGTACATCTATTTATTACTAATATATCAACTTAAATTTTTTAATAGCTTGTGCTGGAGACTAAGAATATACTCCAGAATCTGGAATTGGGTTATAATTTTGAATTTCGTGGAACTGTGAATGTCAAGGGGAAAGGACAATTGGTCACTTTCTTCCTTTGTGATTGAGACCTCACATCAACAATAATTAATCTACATAAGCTATAATGGAGCAAATCTTTACCATAAACTTAAGTTACTATATCATGAAACAAAATCAAACTATATATACATGTAACTGAACTCAGCTGCTTTAAAGTTTAAAATTCAAATATCTAATTTCTTCAGTAAATCAGTTAGTAGCCTCTTTTAACATCAATCATATAGAGTAACGGTTTTCCGGACAAACACCGCTCAATCTGTTCGCACACTAGCTCGGCCAACTATAAAATAAACCAATGCATTGATTAACAGTGTTTTATTGATAGTTAATAACCTCATCTGTCATAGTAAGAGCTGCCATATGCGGAGTAATAACAACCTATTGGAATAATAGTACAAGCATTAGGTGCTATTTGTGTCTTACATTATCCAGTCCCCACAATTCACTGGTAAGTGGTAGTGGCTCCTCATTAAACACATCCAAAGCTGCTCCACTGAGCCACTTGTTCCTAAATAATGACGACTTCATTTGTAGATGCATTTTGTTAACATACTTGATTGCTTCTACTATTGTACTCTCCTTTACAATGTCACCTCTTCCAATGTTAATGAATACAGGCTTCTATCGTACAATACAGTTTATTATTATGATGAAAAAATCGCGTACCTTTTCAGCACAAGACTTGAATCCATCTTTATCAAGCAGTCCAGCAGTTTCTGGTGTACTAGGAAGGACATTGCAAACATAATCAGAGGCAGACAGTAATTCCTCCAGCTCCCCTAATTGCCTTGAGAAAGAGAGAGTTTAATTCAACAAATAATAGCAACAGCATTCATTTATTGCTTTACCTGTATTGATCTACACAGGATAGCCTCTTTTCCTTTGGTACTGGTGTCCTAGTCATACCCCAAACTGTCATGCCAAGAAATTTGCAGTACTTAGCAACTACCATAACAAATAATGGCTAGAAGAATAAAATAGATAAAATTCTCTGCTCACTTTCCCGCCCTATATCACCAAGACCCAGTATTCCTATTGTAAGATCTCGTAGTCTACGATAGCCAAGATCTCTAATATTCCTATAGAAGAATATATTTTTAAAATTTTTGCATAGTAATGGCTGACCATAGATTGTCCCTATCTGCTATTTGTTTTCCTATAATTTTTGGAAAGTGACGTTCAAAACCGATAACTTGACCAACGACATATTCAGCCATATGAGGACCAAAACTACCACCCATTCGTGCAACAGGATAGGGAAGAGTCTAAAATACAGCAAAAATAAATTAAGTAAAATGAATGTTAAAATTTTAAAAACTCTAAATTACAAGTTGTTTCTGACACCTTGTTTGCACCTCTGAGGTGTCAACAAGAACAGGAAGTTGGTAATTTTTTAGATTGTAAACGAGATAGAATGCCAAGTTGCCAACTGACTGCACTGACATGGGTCCTCGCCCACGCTAGTTGCTGGCACAAGATCAAGTAAAATTTATCAAGCATATTTTCAACAATAGATACAAACACACTAACTGCGTTGTTATCAGCAAGAGCTTTTAAGAGCTGATTGCATCCAGCATAAATAATTTGCAATAATTTAAGAGATAGCTCAGAGCTGAATAGGACAGAAGGACAATACTGAAAGACATCTGGATGGGCTATAACAACGTCTGCATTCATCATTCTCTTCTTAAAATCTAAATAAAATAAAAGTATAAATGAGAAAAAAAATTAATATAGACTGACCATCATCAGAACTAAGTTCTTTAACGTTGCAATTCCCAAGATCTACTCTCTCTAGCAGTCCTTTGCCTCTTAGTAAATTTGTCAAAGCTGCTAACATTGCTTTACTTCCAGAAAGAGACAGGGCAGGCCCATCAGTCAAAGAGTTGAGACATAAAACCTTCAATTTGCTCATTTTCTTCTTTTCTAGTTTATTAATAGGCAGGGCATGTTGATTAATAAACCTGGTCACATGCGTTCACGTGGTTGGAGTATACGGAGAATCAGCCCCACCCAGTCAACATGGAGTATTGGAAGGAGCACTATCTTGACGTGTATGTTCAAGACGCCACGGCTCAGATACTTCATGCTAGCACCTGCAACAATGGAAGAAAGGACTGGGAAGATAAGAATCAGCCAATTTCGTATCTGCTTCAGTATTTCAAATCAGTACAATCTGGAGTCCATGTCATGTGTCGCCCCTACTCATACATCACTGCTACACCTCACAACCGTCAATCCTTCATTAAAGTAGTCTGGTTAGGATTGGGTGGGATTTTGAACCTGGGAGAAGCTGTTAGTCAAGGAGAAATGAAAGAAGAGCACTACCACCAGTTACTGGAGCTTTTCTGCCCTGATTTTCCTGTTAGCATTGTAAACGAAGCAATGAAAATCACTTGCAAGGAAGATGAGGATTCTGCTAGCTTCGTTGATTTCTTATATACACTACAGATATTGTTTTATTATCAAGAGTTCTTGAGTGGATGCATGACTGCAGCTTTGACTCCATCACTAGGACCTGTTGTAATATTACCTGCAGAAATAGCAGTGGAAGGGGAAAGAGGAGATGCTACTACAGACTGCAGCATTAAAGAAACAAGCCATACTAAAGATTCATTGATGCAATCAGTCAAATCCTATCACCAGGAGTTGGCTGAAAAAAAGATACCTGTCCCTCCTTTGTCAGTGATAGAGCAAGCACTACAGAGCTTGGAAGAGGAAGAAGTATCCAGACACAATCAAGATTTTAAAAAGAAATTGTGCAAATCTGAGGCATTGAGTGATGCTATTGGAGTACTACCATCAAGAAAGTCAAAGTGATCATCAAAAAAATTCAAGTTACAAAGTGATCATCAAACTTCATAATTTTTTGGCATCTTCCATTACGTGCATGCACTTTTGATTAATAATAGTTAACAATAACAGCTGAAATATTTATGCTAGAACATACTTGGCATTAATCTATCATTATAACTTTGTTTATAGTTATTTTTCTTTCTTGATTAGCCTCAATGCTATGTAGGCCAGTGTAGTAAAAATAACACTGTACATTGCTATACCAATCCAGTCATAGTACAGCCAGTCAGGATTGAACCCACGAACCTCAAGTAATGCAGAACCTTCTCTTGACACTTCGATAATAGTACCATTATTATCACTAAAAACAAAACTATAATGTTTCTTATACAACGGCACAGTAACTTACACCATCTCAGTAAACACTAGCCCATCAGCTTCATTGACAGAGAGAGCCTATATACACAACAAGTTAGCTGCAGACATCTCAGTTGCTTTGTGCTTACCTCAATTGCATATCTAAATATGGATAGATATTGGCACCAGCTAATCCAAGAAGGGAGAGAGTCAAGAGCAATCAAGAACCCACTGAACAACTGTGCAAGAGAATAAAAACAAAACCTTCGTTTATGCCACTCTCAAGATTCAAGTGTAAAATCAATATTATTATGCTATGTGGTGTATACCATTTGAATGATGAAAGACATTGCAATGAGCAATATGGCAATGCTAGTGACATTAACTAGGCCACTAAAGAAAAAAGCAATAGAAGAAGCACCCAGAGATGTCAGGAAAAGAGTGAAGAAGAATATAAAGAACTTGGCAACATCAACTTGGAACCCTAAAATCACAAGAATAAAATTACATCTTTCTTATAGCACATACCAATCATGAAGTAAGCAATGAGTGAGTAGACAATCAATGGTATTACCCTCAATGGGATAATGTCACACGTGTACTTTGATAGGAAATAGACAGAAACACGATAGAATCCTCCAGCATTCTCATGACTATGATGAAGAAATACACGAATAGAGTTTAAGAATTATCGTGTTTACTAACATGAACAGTGGCTTCTGTGATATGAAGAGCTCCACAGCATTAATATTGATAAAGATTTGGTTCATTACCATAAAGAATATTGCTCCTAATCTAAAATTATAAAAAATAATACAATAATAATTAATTTTAATTTTTTTCATTTAAAATTCAATACACATACCTGTCTTGGAAGCCATTTGGGCCTGTGTCTAATTGGAAGAAGAGCAAACCAATAACCAGTCCAAAAACAATCATCACAATTAGCTGAAGTCATATAAATAATAATTATCATACTAATAATGCAAGTTCTCTATACCTGCAGCATTGATAGGCGTGGGTTTCTAACAATGTTAAGAGTTGATCTTGCAATCATGACCATTAGCTATTCAAATAAGAAATAGAAATAGAGTAGATTATCTGTTTATACTAAGAATCAATGCCTAATGCCTAGTAGATAGACCATGTGCATTTTAATTTCCATGACTGACCTGCCACAGGACATTAGTAGCGTATTTGTATGACGTGACAGTTTTATGATTTTCCTTATTCCTGTATTGCTGGAGCAATTCTTGTGTCTTCTTTGCTGCACTCTCTCCCAAGTGAGATGAAGTATAACGAGCTCTTAAGTTATTTGAATCATCATTTCCTCCTTCTGCATTCATTACACACATGATTCAAACTATTATTAAGTTGATTTACTGCATACCTTCAATGTCTGCCTGCTTCTCCTCACAAAGGTTAATGACATCTAGCATAAAGTCTGCTGGATTATTGTGAGCCTCACACTCAAATCCTGTTCAATCAAAACATAGGAAGGATAAAATGAAGGAGCACAAACTTCAATCAAAAAAGGTTGCAATAGGTTTTCATTTATTATTACATAAATATACATTAAGTATTAAATTCTTTCATCATGAATTGCAATTGGTGAGATGTACATCTACTAAGTACACAGTATGTACTACTTGCCTATTCTAGTGAAATGACCAAGTGCTTGATGATTTGGGCCGTAATATACAAGATCCCCTTGAGATAACAGTGTCAGACTATCAAATAATTTGAAAATGGAGTATCGAGGCTGATGTATAGACATTATCACCACACGATCATTATCAGTGCATATGCTAAAAAATAAATTATTTTGGTCACCCAAAGTATTTTAATCAGAAAGCACAGCAGTAAGTAACATACTTTTTCAAGAGTTTAACAACTGATACAGCAGTATATGCATCCAAACCAGTCGTTGGTTCATCAAGGAAGAGGAACTGTGGCTCTATTATGAGCTCCATACCAATGTTAGTCCTCTTTCTCTCTCCTCCACTAATTCCTCTTATGAAATTATTACCCACCTATGACAACAAGATTTGAGTAACTTTAAAAATTCATAAAAAATCCAAATTTGATTGAAACCAGCTCAAACTTTCTACACAACATAAGTACATGTATATGCATCAGATAAGATTATTAAAATGGAGAATTCACTCCTTTTCAATTTTGACAAAATTTGGCCCAAGACCATGTACATGTACTATAGTACAGGGACTTTTATCCAATTTTAGAGCAACTTGAAAAATTTATAAAAAATCCAATTTTGATTAGAACCAGCTCAAACTTTCTACACAACATAAGCTTCAACAGGAAGGGCATTGCCCAATATTTTTAATAGTAACATTGCACAGTTTGATTTTCATGCAATAGCATTGATATTAAATTAATACCTTTGTGTTGGCACAGTTGGTCAGCCCAAGCTGCTTTATAACTTTCTCCACCCTTTCTTTCTTCTCTGACCAGGGAATGGACGTGGGCAAACGGAGAGCGGCCGAGAAAAACAAGTTCTCTTTCACAGTCAAAGTCCCCATAATAACATCGTCCTATGTGATTGTAAAATTCCTAAAATGTAAGTAATTAAAAGTACTTACTTGTACAACATAGCCACTGATACATTTAAAGTTTTCTGGTTGAGCTTCTCCATTTATAAGCACATGACCACTGATCCCTTTCTTTCCTTTGCGACCAGCTAATATATCCAGCAAACTACAATTAATTAATGTATTATTAATACAGGGACACTGGGACAGTTAGTATTGAAGTATTTACAGCTGCTAATCTTCAATGAGAAAATTTTTAAAAATTAACATGTGAACTTGTCTTATAATCTCTCAGTCATTTTTTGCTCTTCTCTAGCTCTCTCTTTCTCTCTTGCCTTTCTCCTCTTTCCCTCCGCCTCCCTCCCTTTCACCCTCTCTCCCTATCTTCCTCCTCTCTAATATACTAACCTTGTTTTTCCACTCCCAGTAGGCCCCATTATAGCATTAAGGCCAGGACTCATCAGGCCACTCACAGATTTCAGTATTATCTTATTGGGAAGTCTCTTGAAGAACTTTCGCTGAGGCACTTCGTACGTCACATCGTGAAATGACAATCCTTTTGGAGATGACAACTGATCGATCTATTCATTTAAATAGAAATATAAATTTACGTCGATGAGAGCTTTTATTAATAACATTGATCTCTTACCGCTGATTGATCTATTGATACAGTTGCAGTTGACACATGAACAGTTGCATCAGAATCTACACAAAAGACATAATGACACTGTACATGAATAATGACTGCATAATACAATATTAATGTACAGTCATACTAAATAGAAACCACATTCCTCCATAGTGAGTTAAATCAATAAAGTGCATTTATATGAATATTTAGTTATGCATAATTAGTTATACACGAGTGAATAAAACACTCTAATAATTGCAATGGCATGCACTAATTTGGAAGAGATGGTGATAATCCACAAAATAATAAAATACTCTTGGCAGTAGACAAAATGGCATTATACTGAAAGTGCTGCTAGTTTTGTCCCACCTCTTCATCACAAAGGGACCAGACTATGAGTGTGTACATGCACTTAAGAATTCTGCCTTTACAATGACGATTGGATCCAACCATGCAACCATGATTGAACCATAATACCAAATTCAAATGATCAAAAATCTACACAACAAAAGTTTACACAAAGGCCACTCATCTCATGTTCCAACCACAATATACTCTATCATCTAAATCTACTTACTGTAATAATAGCTACCACTTACTGTTTGTTGCCATCTTATGGTGTTACGGGTTTCGGTGACAAACGAACGGCAAGAGCTCGGGCAAGAGTGAGAATTGCCTGTTGTAGAATCAACTGCAGAATGGGTGGGCGGGGCTACACGTCAGCAGATGAAAATTAAATTGTTTTCAGTAAAATCATATTCACTGTTATTATTATATCAAATGACATTATGCTGTTGCTGTATTAAATTGCTGTGCTATGTGCTTGAGTGCAATGGTGTGTTCTTCTTCACTCTGTGACGATTTGCTCCTTCTGATCTTATCTTCTCCATCCTTAGTCTATCTATTCTTTTCTTTCCAACAATGAAAGAGCTCACTCCAGCAGTTATCATGAATACCCTAATAATACATCAGAGGAATTAAGAGTTGTTCTTATCATACTAAGAGCCTCTACCATGTTAGTGCTACAGTTCTCATTGTGACAGCCATTTTGAGGGTGTGGCCACCACAAATTTAGCTTAGCTAGTGAAATTTATTATTAATTAATCTATAAAATTAATTTTAATTGGAAATGATGATTATGATGATAATAGTAATAATATTTTATGTTATATTTCTAGTTTCATAGAGTCTCACTGTAGAATCATCTGATGATGATAATATCATTGATTCATCTCTACATACAAAAAGACAAAGTTACATATCCCCTCTCATTCTCATTCCATTCCTTGCAAATCTCATACTTGGTTAGTTTAATGTCCAGTATCCCAGCAGTGTGTCCATGCCATTCCCTCATGCATTGGGCTGTTAGTACATTCCAGAGTCTAATTACACCATCAAAATGGCAGCTATATACAAATGGACCTCTTTCTGATACGCACATTCTCACCAAGGTAGCCTAGGAGAGGGAAAGCATGTTTATGAAAGAGAAGCAACAGTAGACAGATTCATAAATACGGGTATTGTAGTGAGTGCTTACATCCTGTCCTTCGTTTTTTTCTGGTTTACAAACATGTCTCAGTTTTTGAGTTGGTATGTCCCAAACAGCCAGTGAACCAGTCACGTAGCCAACAAGTATCAAGTTATGACTGTAAGAAGACGAATGTATACCGGAACTGTACTTAGTGTATCATTCATTAAGTACTGCTATGAGTCTCTGTCACTCGTATATATACCTCGATAAAAATCCAACAGCCTCTGTAAAGTGATCCTCAGCAGGTTCTTCTTGTTCATTCTCTTGGGAAGTTCCTTTGTTCTCTCCTCCTGGTGTAACCAAATTCAACATTGCAATTAACTACAAGGAATGAATAATAGTGATTTCTGAGCCAATTTTCAGATGACTATAACACTAATTTTTTATAAGATCAACTCAAACCTTTTGCATAAAACAAAGACATCAAAATGTATCAGAAAATTTAATAAAAATGAAGGGGGTAATTTTGGAGCCATTTTTTGCAAAAAAAAAAAACTATAAAAATAAAATAAAAAGGTCATTCTTTTTATTTTACTATTTTTTATTTTTCAATTAAAAAATTATAAATAAATAATGATGCAATTTTTTTTAAATAAATAAAATAAAAATTAAATTAATTTTATTTAAAATGTTTATTATTTTTTATTTATTTAATTATTTTATTTTAATTTTATTTTTTATTTTTATTTTTTTTAATTTTTTACTTCATTAATTTTTTTAATTTGTTTAATTTAATTTTATTATTATTTTAAATTGTTTAACTAAATTAAAAAAATTAAAAAAATAGAAAAATCAAAAAATTAAAAGAATTTTTAAAATAATAAATAATTAAAAGATTAAAAATAATAAAATAAAAAATGAAAAAAATTAATAAAAAAATTAACAAATTAAATAAAAATTAAAAAATAAAAGTAAATAAATAAATAAATAAATAATAAATTTCAAAAAAAAAATAATGAAATGAAAATAATAATAAAATAAAAAGTAAAAAATTAAATAAAAATTAAAAAATAAATTAAAAATTTTTACAATCATTATTAAACCCACATAAAAACTGAAACATTAAAATAATAAAAAATGATAATAAAAAAATAATAATGATAAAATTAAAAAGTAAAAATTAAAAAAATTAAAAATAAATGAAAAAATAAAAAAATTAGTAAATGAAAAATAAAAAATTAATAAAAAAAATATAATATAACTAAGAGCTGGATCGATTAACCTTAGTCAAAAAACTTCAATCGATGGCTCATGCTTGCCCCCTCAATATTTACATTCACCTAGTTTTTTAAAAAGGCCATAACTTGAAACGATGAAGTCAAATTCAACTCAAACTTTCTGCATAGCATAAGGACATCAAGATGTATCAAAAAATATAATAAAAATTGGGGGTGATTTCGGAGCCGTTTTTCAGAAAAAACCATGGGCTATAGTACAGGGATTTTTTTCAGATTTTGGCCCATTTTTAAAAATGGCCATAACTTGAAAAATTGAAGTCGGAATCAACTCAAACTTTCTACAGAGCATAAGGACATCAATATGTATCAGAAAATGTAATAAAAATTGGGAGTGATTTCGGAGCCATTTTTTAGAAAAAACCACGGGCTATAGTACAGAGTATTTTTCAGAAAATGGCCAATTTTTAAAAATGTCCGTAACTTGAGAAATTGAAGTCAGAATCAATGCAAACTTTCTGCAGAGCATAAGGACATCAATATGTATCAGAAAATGTAATAAAAATTGGAGGTCATTTCGGAGCTATTTTTCAGAAAAACCATGGGCTATAGTACAGGGTATTCTTCAAATATTGAAAAAGCATCACCAGTAATCAATCATCATTTTTAGTAATACTTTCATATTGCTAGCATTGAAGAGTCTTGCCGTTCCATCAATATGACCAGAAACTAGTACACTAGCATCAGGATGAACTGAAAGACATGTGACAGGAGACATTTGATTGGGTGAAGGATCTACAAACAGAAAAATAGTATTAAAAATATAAGCTATTTATGACAAGTATAACACTGATTGTGAGGCTTACTATAAGAAGACACTAGTGAGACTGTTTTAAGATCCCATATCTTAACAGAGCCATCAGAATAACCAAAGCAAGAGGATTTCCCTAAGATCACAGTGTACAATACATATAAGGGAGCCATTTTATACACTATAAATCACTGTCTTACCATTTGGCATTAGTACACCAGCCATATTTCCAGAGCCGTGTGATGGTATGGTCTTGCAATCGCCAGAGGGTATCCTCCATATCCAACCATCCCCATCAGTAGTACCGGCTAATAACACATGGGCACCAGTATGCCACATCAACCACTAAAAAATAAAAATGAGCAATGAAATAATTATTTTGTAATATAATATCATTAGGTAATAATTATAATCTTTCTTCTTTAATACATGTAAGCATTATTTCAATTTATTTGCTTAACCTACTTCTACATTTGATGCATCAAATCTCCACACACACTTTCCATTACTGCACTGCCAGACCTGTACAAGGCCTGCTAGATCTGATGTCGCTAGATACTTGTCATCATGACTGAAACAGACACAAGTAACTGACTCCGTATGACCTTTAAAAAACAAACAAAAGAAAATTATGTGTACGATACAAATATACGTACAATGCATACATTAAGTAAAGAGCTTTAGTAAAAGAGCAATAAAGAGTTATAAATAATTATGATACATAATTTAATTAGTAATAATATATATAAGTACTTTACCATTGCATTC